AACATGTGCAAAGGAAAAGCAGAAAATGGTAAAAACACAGACAGGGGGCAGTGTAGCCTTTGAAGCAGCCAATTAAAGAGGAGTTTTACGTTCTACTCTACTAGTACACTGATGTGTTTCTGGGTTTTGTTTTTTTTTTTTTTTTTTCAAAAACTGCATTTTCTTAGAATGATTGCTTTTCAGTATATCCATGTTTACTAGATTTATCTAAAGCCTAAATGTTTTGTCTTGTCAGTATTGTGCAGGGAAACCACGTCCAGCAGCAGGCCACAGATATCGGAGGACTTAAGGGGATCAGGGGGAGAAAACTGGAGATTTCTTTCCCACAAATCTCAACAAGCGCGAGCAATGAGGGGTGGAGGCTGAAGTGGAGACTGTGCACAGCTTGTCGATTGCTGCGGAGGAGAGTGGATGGAGGGGAATTATGATTCCGGGCGTCTCTCCACTGACCGTCTCAGGCGGCCGACAGGCAGCAGAGTTGATAGCGGCGGCAGCAGGGATTGGTCAGCGCGCAGTCTGTAGCATGCATTTCAAACCAGGCAGCGACACTTGTTTTTAAATTAGAGCAAGACCGGGTCGAGGGAGACGCAGCCGAGCCAGAAGGAGGTGGAGGTCTTTTTGTCTCCGGCCTCTGCAGGTTTCCGTTGTAGGGATCTTTGGTGGAGGAATAAAAAACAATGTCCCCTTTTTTTTTTGTACGTCCTAATTAGACACGGCGGTGACCTTTTCTGCATGCTTATCAATAGGCCTTGTTCAACACGGCTCCTAAATCCCTGAAGTCGTTTTTTCCGATTTCCATGCACACAATGAACAATGTTCCCCGCCAAGGAGAAATATTGACCGTAGAAAAATGGAAATGCTAATACAGAACTCCCCTAGGTTCGGAGCTGTTTCTGTACGCCGCCGTGTGCACAATTATCCAAAAGTGAGGACGCAGCACAGGAATCTTTGACAGATATTACCCATGATTCCCAGCTGGACAGGGTCTGCACCAGTCTGCACACGGACGACCTTTAGCCTGTGAGGGGAACGGATCCGACCCGACCTGAGCCAAGTCTGGACACAATAGGGTATTGCAGTGGTTGACAAAGGGGGGTTGGGGGGGAGAGGGGGCCGTTACGCTGCAGATGTTGTGCAAAAACACAAAACGTCACATTAAAATATGAAGCAGCGTCAGGTGAAGCGACAGCTGATCCAGGAGGACGACGGAGGTGAAGGTTCGTCTCTTTCTCTTCTGCTTCACTCTCTTCAAACCTTCCTGCGTCCACTGGTCTGAAGCTCCATCATGTCGTCTTCATCTGCTGGTCCAGAGAGTCCAGTCTGAGTCTGAGTGTCACAGGTGAAGTTCTATGCTGCTCACGTCTGGGTGACGAGCAGACTCTGGTCAGAGATTCCATTTGATTCTCCTCTGGTAACTTAGCAGAGACTAAATGAGTCAAATTGACTCCGTCTCGGCTAATCTTCCACTAATTACTGTCAAAGCTAATACAGGGTGAGGAGCTAATCCCTGCTGTTTTGAAGAGCAGTCATTTTAAATATTACAGAATATATATATATATATAAAAACGTGTTGATCCAGGTTGATTCCTCCGTATAAATCAGCTCTGGTACGGCCCAATATTTCCAAGTTATCAGGCAAAAACTATTTTTTTTAATTAGCGAATTAGACCGAAAAGTTTTGAGTGACAGCTCCGTTTATTATTCACAGCTGGTTGGTAAGATGAAAAAAAAAAAAAAATAGAAGGAATGAAAGAAAAGCATCGAGGGATTTGAGGGACTTAGAAAGAAGAAAATCCATTTCTATTATCAACCTGGACGTGGAGTTAAAGCAGGAGCAGCAATTACAGCTGAACCTCACTTTCATCCTGGGTCTTCAGACACACGCACCGAGGAACGTCAGGAGTCAGAGAGTTCGTTTCCACGCAATCAGTCTAAAGGCTGCAAAACAGCCCAAAGAAACACACGTGGACCAGACTGGAATAGGACAGAGCGGGAGGGAACGGACGAGATGTCACGTTCTGCCAGGAGAGGGAGCAGACGGGACTCAAACGAGGACGTACACGGAACGCCACGATGAACCCACAAGGATTGACTTCCATTCAAACATCCTGTCACCACGGCAGTTTGATTGTCAAATCTACAATTAATAGGAGCAGAACTCCTGACTTTGTCTGATGTCAGACTGGTTCACGGTCCCTGCCCCTCAGTCTGGACCACACTCTGCAGACATCTGTTATAGAACCAGGTCAGATGTCGCTCATCCATCTCTCAGCAGCAGCAGCAGCAGCAGCAGAGGGAAAGTGAACTCCTTCTGTGTCTGCGTCCTGGAGAAGAGAAAGAACTTGGAGATGAGTGCAGCTCTGACAGATTAAAAGCCGCCACTGTCTCCTGCCACTGCATCAATCTCACAGCCTCCTCCACCAGAGAGAGGCAGCATCCACACAGACCGCGCTGATGAAATGAGAGAAAACACAGACAGAACTCTCTTCTTCAAGTGTCAGCCGCGGCCCCGACGATGACTCATATCGTATTCCATCTGAAAAATCAGAGCCAACAGCCTCGTCTGGTTGGAGACGGGACGAGAATCCATCAGAAAACGGGACAAAAACTTCAACTTAAATATTTTCCTGCCTCCAGTCCAACTGAGTCCAACAGGCACAAATGTAGATTTGTTGTGATCCGTGGTGTGACGTCCTCTGAATGTGAAGCTAATTCACCAGCCTGACATCATAAAACACTCGACGAGAACGACAACTTCAGACCGAAATCTCTTAAAGCTTTGAGGACAGTGTGAGAAAGTTAAAGAAAAATAAAAGGCGTTAGAATCAGCCTGACTTTTCTACAGACGTCTGAGAGAAACGTTCAGATCCATTTATTACACAAGGTCAGAACTGCAAATAGGTGTCGTCTGATAAACTGAAAGATGGATGGACGGATGGATGATGGATGGACTGGATGATGGATGGACTAGGAGGATGGATGGATGGACAGGGAGGGAGAATGGATGGATGGACTGGGAGGATGGATGGACTGGATGATGGATGGATGGACTGGGAGGATGGATGGATGGATGGACTAGGAGGATGGACTACTAGGAGGATGGATGGATAAATGGGTGTACTGGATGATGGATGGACTGGGAGGATGGACTGGGAGGATGGATGGATGGGAGGATGGATGGATGGACTGGGAGTATGGATGTATGGATGGATGGATGGATGGATGGACGGGGAGTATGGATGGATGGATGGATGGATGGACGGGGAGTATGGATGGATGGATGGACTAGGAGGATGGACTAGGAGGATGGATGGATAAGTGGGTGGACTGGATGATGGATGGACTGGGAGGATGGATGGACTGGATGATGGATGGATGGACTGGGAGGATGGATGGACTGGATGATGGATGGACTGGGAGGATGGATGGATGGATGGATGGATGGACTGGGAGGATGGACTGGGAGTATGTATGGATGGATGTATGGATGGCTGCCTACATCTGAACCGACGGTGACAGTGAGGTCTGGTGTTTTTCCTCCTCCGTCTCAGTTTGATCCTCATTAAGATGTAAACATTGATTCTCTCTGTGCGGAGGAGGACGTTAATCTGTGGATTACACGGCGGCAGAGTGATGTTTCTGGGATTAGGTGTTAAATCCTAAACTACAGGCCGATGTTTCTGATAACAGACATAATGGACGTCTTCAGTACAAAAGCTTCTTTTATTGCATTGACGCGGAATATTTGGATCAAACTCTTCATACAGATAAAGCAGCTCTTTATCAGCGGCGTTTTTTTTTCTGCTCGTTATTCTGAGACTAAAGAGAGCGTCACGTCTGACCTTTCATTTCTTAAGTAAGAGTTCACTGCTGATTTGGAAGTATTTTTGTTTGTCTTGTTAGTTAATGTCTCTCTGTACAAAACTTTCAACAACTTTTCAGTTCCTGGCGTCATCTGCGTATCGACGGAGCCTCCCTGATGCCCGCGAGGTAAGAGAAAACTTTCCCGGGAATGTGGGCCAAGAAACCCAGAGGGTGTGTGTGTGAGCGGCAGAGAGAGTTCACATCGGTACCTGTTCGTGGTCTAACTGACGTTGTCTGGTACTGTCCTCATGTCGGTGAGAACCACATCTCTGTACCTCCTCTCCAGTCCTTCCATAAAGTCCAGGTAGTCGCCGACCTTGAAGCCCTGGATCGGCTCCTCCTGATGGGAAACACAAATCAAAAAAACATTGGATCAAGTCAGAGGTTCTCAATTATTTTCTGTCATGCCCCCCCCACCCCTTGTGGACAAAAATGTTTTCACGCCCCCCCTCTGACCCCCACCCCCGTGAACTGAAATACAACTGAGAACCTGGTAACATGTATATTTTTTATCTGTACAAACCACTGTAGGAGTTGCTGCCACCTAGTGACTGGAGGCTTGTTATCACTCAATCATTACAGCAGTGATACACTGATGTCCATCGTGCCATATTCCATTGGATGCCCCTCAAACCCCTACCCCCCCGACACCCCGGGGGGCCCGCCCCTCTATTTGAGAAGCACTGGATTAAGCCAAAAATCAGTTGGAAAAAAACTAAAACCATGAAGAAAGCAGTTTTTTTTTTGTCTGTTTGTTTTGTTCTGTTTTTTCAACTCCCTCCAAACCAAAGTCCAGGCCTCTCTCCTGATTCTTTATTCTGCCGCAGACTTCCACAGAGAGCAGGCTCTAATGACTCCTCAGCTTATCAGCACTCTGCCCATTTTCTCCCATCACTCTGCAGAACGTCTCCTCACTCCATCTAATTTGGTTCAGGTAAATAACGCTGACAAGGACACGCTGCAGTGACAGGTCCGGCCACACTTTGAAGACCAGACTGAAACAAACACAAACACAGGCTTCTCTCTCTCTGCCGTCTTTATCGTCGCCCCCTGCACCAGAGCCCATCTTCAGGGGTCGTCGTCGGATTTGGACGTCGAGGTAAATCCCGATAAAGGATCGTTAATAACGTGGTTTTAACTTTGGTGATAAGAATAAGTCCACAAAAAGGCTCACGGCTTCAATGTCCATGAAGTCCATGAAGAAAATCAATTTTGGAGTTCAGCTATGGTCACGGTAGCCGCTAATCTACTTTACGAAGTTTGTTTAAGTCAAATCTAAAAATAAAACTTCTTAACTTTTAAAGATTAAGGCAGTGATCGATGCTTTGTTTGTCCATGTGTGTCAGGCAGAGCAATTACACCCTCTTCCACTAGGTGGCAGCAGACGGTTATTAAAACTAAGAAAAGATAATCAGAGCTGTTGAAGAAGATCTTTGTGTCTTTCTTCAATTCCTGCCAGTATATCAGCGTTGTCTTCAACTAAACAGGAGTACATTTTTAGTCAATTTAAACTAGAATATTATTATATTTCATTATACTGTATATACTTTTTGTGAGTCTTAGTGTAAATTTTCTTCATGAAATAAAGTAGTTTAGTTTTAAATTCAACTCTTTTAACACAAAACTTGTGTTTCAGATATTTTTACTTGGTAATTCTTTAGTTAAGTGTTTAAACTCGTTTTAAGCTAGTACTATAAAATAGATAAAATAAATCTTAACTCAGAGCCTAAACTTTTTCTGGCTTCATTAGCAGCTGCTATAACAACATAAATCCCTCTTTAATTAATGCATTTCCTACAGGGAAAAAAAACCCCAAAAACTTTAAACTTCACGTCAAATGTACGGTTTAATCAGACTCTGGTTTCATGTGAATCACTCCACAGCAGGGGGCGTCAACGGAGGAGCAGCAGATGAGCAGACAAAGAGCCGCGTTTTTCCATTATTCAACGGCAGCAAACGCAGCGACTGCAGAGAGACGAGGCTGCAGAGGAACGTGAGGCGAGATCCCAGTTTCGTCTGAATATTAGACCCACTTTTAACCCAGGGAAAATTACCTTTCATGGCCATTTTAATCTTTTATCCCACAGAATAATACATTACAACTCTCAGACATATGTGATCTACTGGAGTTAATAAAGGCTGAGGTTTATAGTCGGCTGCCGCAGGAACAGCGCTTTAAGACGATTAAACTCATATTTTTGTTTTATGAACGTTATAAGAAAGTAGTGTTTTTTATGTTCTGTCGCAGTGAAATATGACGGAGACAATTCGGAATCACTTTTAGATCACTTTTATTGAATCATTTGACCCACCACCCATTTTAAACCTCTGCTGATATTAAACCACATTTTTGAAAAGGCATTAGAGCACTTTTACTGTTTGTACCAACATTTGTTTGACCCTCGGCCAAATGTGAGCTAATATTTGGACGACATCTAGCTTTTCACAAACTGTAACTCCGACGTTAAGTCAATATTTTTCTGTGATCTTTTTGTGAAAACGCCCAAAAATACAGATGAGCTACAAAACAGCTGAAAATACCACACGATAATATTTAATCTTAATAGTGAACGGGCTAACCTTTAGATACATTTGGGCTAAATAAGTCATGATGATTGTTTACTTTGAGCAAAAGCAACCATTGGTTCACATTAACAGCAGTATTTACATTATACTTCTGTTTTTCTTTAGATTTTTGGGGGGCTAACCTTGGGATATCCTTTGACTTTTAGCTACATATACTGTAAGCTAACGTCATATATTGTTAGTATTTGAGTTTTTTGATAGTTGTTTCTGGGCTTCTTTTAAAAAAAATTAAACCTTTCTTTGGTTAACACTGAACAACCAATGA